ATAAAGTTGTACTGTGATGTGCTGTACTGTATTAAAACATGGCTTTGGTCTTGCAACCTTCATCAGAGTCAGTAAGAAAGTGCAAAAAAGTGATTCATTTCAACTAAATTACAACTATTTGTAATGATATGTAAAAAGTCTATTCTGCATTTGGTATAAACATGGAAATTCTTTTTTAAAAACAACTGACCTTTTGCAGGCTATTGTATTTCAAATGTTTATAAATCTTGAAAACAATCTTACATAAAGAAAAACACTCCACTGCGAATTTGATTAAGGCACCCAGAGATAATCTGGATTATAATTTGAGGATTAAGTTCACTAATCCAAACGTATCTCTTGATAATGGATAATAACTAATAATCCTCTTGATGAAGGCTGCCTAATGTGGACAACAGGGTGATGAGTTTCCATATCTGATTAACATATGACAGTGCTGCCATCTAGTGTCTGCACACAACAGGTCAGTTACTACCTTCATCTTTCTTTACAGTAGGTTTCTGATAGAGCTGGGTTTAAATGTGTACTGATGTCTTTTGTCAGGACTTGTGGTGTTGGTCTATTAAACTCTCCATTAATGTAAATTTTGGTATTGGTGTATGAATATAGAAACTCTTACACAGGTGCATTTATCCTGCCCTGAACTTTGTATTTTAAAATTACACACATATTACACCTGATGTGTTTTGAAGGTTATTTAAAAAAGACTAAATATCAAAAATTGTATTTAATTGGAATCAAATTAATTTGTGGGCAAAATAAATTTAGCAAAACAGATAGCTAGTATTTCTCCACCTAAATAAATGGAAGAGACTTTGAAACAGTATTTAGGGAAAATTTACAATAAATATAACTGAACAGTTAAATTAATTTATTAATGAATGAATAATCCAAATTTAATAGGCTTTTTTGGTAATTGTGGGGGCTGAGGGTTGCACTACAGAGGGTACATCAATGCTTCCTCCTCATCTTCATCTCTCCCTGAATGTTCTCACATTGCATCAGTGTCCCAATCCACATTGAGCAGTAAGCAATATTGAATATACTCAGTCTTTTAAAAAGAAGAAGCAGTAATGAATATTATTATTATCTTTGTGTAACATTCCACCCCTAAATGTAAGTGAAAGCATTAATTACTGCACTGGCAGAAGCGGCAGGCTGTGTCAACAGTGCTAAGAAGTTTAGCCTCTCCAGGAGCCTCCCAACTGGGATTTACAGAGGAAAATCCCCAACAGTGCCAGGCTTCTACAACCTGCTGAGGTTTATCAAGTTGGTTTAAGACATCCAGCACTGCTAAATGGAAATCTGAAGAATCTTCAGCAATCTGCAACATTTTGCAAGATTCAGTAGCAAACAGCTGATATTGTACTGTTCATTCAGCCTGCTGTTTGGAGACTACATGCAGGTAATCATGGGAAATTATGACAACCAGTAAACTTTCAGTGGTATTAATTAGGGCTGACTCTTAAGAACTAGAGCGAAAATAGGTACATCACACAGGTGTCAGAAAATAGCAACAATGAAAAAACAATAAAACCTGCACACTTACTCACTGCCACAGAATTCTTTTTTCTGACCTCATGAAGATCCATCTAGGATTGAAACACTGTCATTAAAAAGTTTTTTGTGCCAGTGAGTAAGTGTGTGGGTTGATTCTGAAGAGCTGCCAGAATTGGTATATACTTAAATATGATCTTAATTAGTTTTTTTTTTAGTGCAGACAGCTTAGGGAAATTGACCTTACCTTCATTCTGATGGTGGCTGTTTTTGAGTTTTCTCCTCAGCTCTCCTCACATAAAGCTTCCTGCATCTCAGCCATGTGTTAAGCAGCACTGAGGTAATCCACCTGTTCTCTCTGTGTATATGCATGTGTGTGTTTCAGTGTGTGTGTGTGTGTGTGTGTGTGTGTGTGTGCGCGTGTCCAGCATGACATATGGCAGTGTGTCTCCTTTATTCTAGTGTGGCAGATCAAGTTCCTGCCAGCTGAATCCCGTCAGTCAGAATACACGTGAGACTGACAACTAATTTAAATGATTCTTATGGTAATAAGAACATAATTTTAGATGACTTTATGATGATATTCAGTTCAATTTTTTGTTTTCTGAATGCCGAGTCAGATGAAGACAGATACTACTCTAATCTTGTCTGTACACTAAATATAAAGCTATAGCCAACAGCTGCTTATCTTAGCTTACCATGGAGTCTGGGAACAGAGGGTAACAGCTATCTTGGCTCTGTCCAAAGACAACAGAATCTTCAGGACTGCAATAGCTTGCTGTATATGTACTGTATCTAGTTTATTAAATCCTCACTAAAAGTCTTTGGTTTTACGGGGGGATTGTGCACCAGACTATTTCTTGGCCAGGCACAGTTAGTTCGTTGATTTGTGTCATCACAATGAGGTTGCCAGGCAAACAGCGGAGACTACAGTAAGGTTACTGCTAACCCTAACCCTAACCCTAACCCCCTGTTTCCAGTCTTTATGCTCAGCTAAGCTAACCAGCTAACCCTGGCCGTAGCTATATCTAGTATAGATATGAGAGTGGCATCAAACCTCAATTCTCCAATTACATGAACTGTACAGGTAGGCTACTACAAAAGACACAGAAAGAGTCCATGCCTATAGTAAAGACACCTTCATACAAACACTTTCAAAATGTATTTGCTTTTTAATGGAGAATAACAACCTAAAGGTTCATTCTACATTCAGATAGTTAATTGAAAAGCATTAAAGTAATGTAATAAAGTTTCAAATCTACAGCAAATATGTCAAATTGATTAAATGGATCAATGTACACTATGTTAGTCCAGTAATACAGTATATTATACAGCTAAGTGCTGCATTTGCTTTTGTGATTTATTATATCTAATGACTTCATTGGATTAGTATACTGATCTAATTTATCATACCACTTCCCAGAATACTTGTACACATTCAACAGAATAGTATAAGTACAGCAGCTGAAGCTCATGTTATGCACTCAGAGTAATGTAATAGCATAGCATAGCACCTCCAGATCCTGCACAAGACAGGATTAAGAGAAGCAGAAACTGAACAGGAAGGAAAATGTTTGGACAGCAATCTGACTAAGGTTTGCTCAGCAGCAGCATACAACATCCTCTGACTCTGTGTGGGTGACAGTAACCATCAGTCCATCCAGTTTCTCCACACACATCCATCCACAGCCTCCTGCAGGCAGGTTTTACTCCATAGACTTCATTAATGGGAGAAGACAGGGTAGGACTGGCTACTTGATCCACTCCGAGTGAGGTGTAGAGATGCCAGCAGAGAAACCACAATCTGATTACTGCTTAAACACATTCAACAGCTCAATGAACTGCTGTTTATCTGTATGCTCTGCCATCAAAGTAAAAATATTCCTAAGTAAACCCATCCTAACTAACTAAAGACAAAAGAAGCAAGTAAAAACACTAGTATTCTAACTGTCATTCGTATTATCCACTTCCATCCCGTGATGCTGATGACGAGGGTGGTGGTGATGATGACTGACACGATGAAGATGAAGAGTTTCATTCTGGCTGGTATCGTGCTGATGTCGGGACTGATTCCGGTGACTGGTGTTAGGGTGCTGATGAGAATGAGGAGAATGATGATGAGGATGGCTGTGGTGGTGATGAGTCGCCCCAGGAGCTGTGTCTCCCACCTCTGAATCATCAGTGTCCAGTTGAATTGTGGGTATTGCAGTTGTCTGGCTGTCATCCAACTGTGTTGTCTCATTCTTCATGGTGCCGTTCTTGCCACTTGATAAAGTAGAATTAGCCTGGGAAAGTTAAAATAAATATATACAAAATACATAGTGAAGAGCAGAGTTTGGTGATAATTCCCTGTGGGTCTGTCACGATGAGTTATCACTTTCACATTACACATTGTCATTTGATCCATCCTTAAAAAAAATGATTTAAATCAAAGGGTGTATGGCATTTTATATTTATTGAGTGAGTAATTCATAGTAAACACTGAAAATCATGTTTGCAAGCATTTGTGTGTGTGTGTAGGTGTGTGAGTGTGTGTGTTCTGTAATTACTCACAGAGCAATTGCAGATGTTTTTATGATAAGTGGCTCTGATTGCAGCCTCTACATAGGGGTAATGCAGGAAACTGTACGGCAGCACTATATGGAAGGTGAGCAGACCACATCTGGAAAAAAAGGAGACAGAGAGAGAAAATCAAAATGTAGATGGGAATCAGTGCAATTTTATTGTCTCTTTCCTTATTTTCACAACATGATGAATAAACAATTTATATATTATTTATAGATTCTAAGATTTATTTGAAATACCATGCCAGGTCCTTTTTTGTCCTACTGTGTGTGACTCAGAACTAATGTGCTCACATGCAAGCATAGTTGTGCTTTTAAAACCTTTCACAAGAATGAATATAATTTTTATAATCCGGAAATTCTGTTTGGAAATATGTATTAAATCAAGGGTGCTGGGACTAGTACTAAAGTTGTATGTATTTTATGTTGGCACTCTACTCAACTCAAAGAGCTAAAACCAACTGAGATGTTGACATAAAAAAGAATCAAAATTGTATCTGCGTGTCTAGGAGAGGTGGCTTTGCTTACCTATCGTAAACCAGGAAATCATCTTTGTCCCCATCCAGAGCCTCCCACACGTCATTTTGAAGGGGAGCCTGCTGGTATACAGGAACACCAGGGGGCGCTCTTCTCTTCAGCTCCCAGTACATGGCTCTGGACTGAGCCTCACGCTCATTTACTATCATAAAAGACACCTCTGTCAGGTTGCTTCGGTTCAGCTTTCCACGCAGGGCTCCAATTCTACAGAGGAACAGATAGAGACATCCACTGTCAACTAAAACCAGTGTACAAGGAGCTCTTAAAGGCATTTTCATCCATCCCACCAATTATGGTTTACATTTTCTTTAATATTTCTCAAAGGCTTTGTTCTATTCAAGCATCCCAGTAAACAATGACAGTGTCACAGTGAGTCAGCATGCACAATACCAGGACCCTAAAACTGAAGCAGCTAAATGAATTCACCCATTGTTTATTTTATTACTTATATCAGTGCTTTTTCTACTGTTACATGTCAAAATGTCTGCAATGAAAAATTATACATGTTATCTCTGGCCAAATATGTAATGTCGCAACATTTTTAAAGATTTCTTAACCATAAAAGTAGTTTTAAATAATGATAATAATAATTAAACTCCTTCTAAACAATGTTTGCTCTGAGTGTATCACTGATATGTATATGCCTATCAAACTACTACTACTATTGTTCCATGAAGTCTGTGTTCTTACTTGGAGGCCTGAGTGAGACAGAACTGTCAGCTGGCCTTCAGTAGCGCCACCACTACCACATTTCCCAGCAGCTCTTGCATGGGTGCATTTCCCTTTATAGTCCAGTGGGGGGCGGGTTGGCAGATCCTGGAGGCGTCATTGTCCCCCTCTACCATTAGAGTGACATGTGAAGCCCACAGCAGACCTGGCAGGGCCGCGTACAGCCACAGCGATGAGAGAGAGCGCATTGTCCCTCCCTGGCTGGCTGGACCGAGTCTACCTGACGAGAAAAGACGTATAATAATCCATGCATTGTCACCCAAGTGCAACATGAAGCTGCAAACTTTGAGACATGTATACAATTAAACAAAAATATGGAACAGGGATTAAGGAAATTAAAGTTATAAGGTCAGTGTAGACTACAGTGCACAACAGCACGTGTAGGCAGTCTGGACTGAAAGGATATTCAATCTTTGGCAGGTTTCCCCTGTCCTGAAACAAATGGCCAGTCTGATCCCCCAAAAAAGAATAAACCCTCATTGTCTCTATCATCACATGTGGAGATAATCTGCAAAATAATAATTTTTTTGTGGGGCAAACATCCAACAGACAGAAGAATGTCAGGGGCAAAGGGACAGACAGGGTGGCAGACAGAAAGACAAAAGGAGGCTGGGCTGTTTACAGCCTCAGTGACATCCAAAAACAGTTTGCACATGCAGATAAATGTGCCTCTTTCTGTTTGTTGAAATTGCTTAACATTTTGTTATTAAATTGTTAAATTGATCTGAATGAAAACGTCAGAAAACAACCTCACAGCTCAAACTTTACCAACAAGAGGGAGTGGCATTTGTGTGTCCCATAAACAGTGGCTACCTACTGAGTTCAATATATTATATTAAATCTCTAAAGGTGCAAACCTTAAAATGCATTATTTTGAGTAGCAGGGAAAAAATTACACAAAAATGTATTATTTTGAAAAGACAAAAAAAGGAAAATCCAATACAATTGGTTAATATATTTCATTTCAATTACTTTTCAAAATAAAACACCTATGATCATTAAAATGAAAACTAATTTGAGCCTAAAAGAAAGCCTTACCTCTGTCCCCTGTCTGTCCTGTGACCCACATAAACAAGACAGCAAACCCGTGTTGTTTTTAAAGCCTGTGGGGTTGACAAAGCACTTCCCCCAAATCAAACAGACAGAGAGAGAGAGAGAGAGAGAGAGAGAGTAGTATCTAGTAACTAGTATCTATACACTAACAAGAACTGTATTCTTAAATATATCAACTTCGGATACTGGAGTAGTGATATAAATATGTACAAGTTGCAGACCCCTTGGTGTCAAAGGACTTTAATTCTAAATCACCAGTTCCATTGAAGTTACCTTGACTTTATTTTTGTATTTTTCGATTCAGGCCAAACCGTCAGGCCACCAGGGCACCCAAGCTCCTCCCTTTTTATTGTGCATTGCATTGTGGGACAATATAGTGTGCATCAGCTATTTGAAATTCAAGCATTTTATGTATGCATACTGAATATTCTTAATTCACACACTGCTGTACATACCCAAAATCTACTCAGAAATAATTTGGAGTAGACACACCTAAAATGTATAAATTGCAAAAACTCGGTCCACGACTTTGGTCCAGACTGAAATATCACAGCAACTAGTCAATGGATTGGATTGCCATTAAATTTGGTACAGGTGTCCATGGTGCCCAGAGGACATTGGTGATCCACTAACCCTTTATCTAACGCCGCCAGCAAGTTTAAGTTCTCACTTATCCAGTGAAATATCTCAGCATCTACTTAATGGATTGGCTCACAACTGTAGGTATTTACAGACATTCATGGTGACTTTGGTGATCTCCTCACTTGTCCTATAGCACCATCACAATGCTGACATTTTTGGTTTTGAGTGAAATGTTTTAGTCAACTGTTGTGACTGCTGTGACTGTACTCTTAATCTGGTTTACCATCAAAAGAACCTCTTGTTTGTAATATTGATCTTATTGAGTAATATTTACTATGTGTGAGTCAGCCTTTTGACTGTGTAGAGGTGAATGGCACCCCATGACAAACAAAATCACGGTTCCACTTTTGTAAGAGGTTAAGCGTCCAAAATCAATGACAATCAGCACGAGAGGGTCAAAGTGACAGACTTACTGCACAGCTGTGAAGGAACATGTAAACTGCTGTTAAGCTACAGTACTTGGTCAGTCCTGATAAACCTATACCTATATCTTTCACTTGTATAAGTCTTTCTACCTAAATGCTGTTGTCATGTTGTAGTTCAGCTTAGGTAACAAGCCAACCGCAAAACAAATATCTAATCTCTCATGTGAGTGATTTTCTCAAAGTCCAGCCTGGGCCACGGTGGAATGTCAATTGTTTTATTCAGGGTAAAGGTAACTCAAACATCACCTGGTAGGCCATTGTATTTGAGTATATAATGAGTATTTAGGTAGTACAGCGGTATTTAAGGGCACCAATGTAACCAGTGTAGTGAAGGCAACAGTGCAGTTTGTTACTGTGAGCGGCCTGCTATCTATGCAGTGCACCCCTACATGCATTATGCCTTTTGATGTAGTGAAATGTCTCTCTCACATCCACAAACAATGACAAATACAGGTAAATCTTAACAACCACTTTATTTTCTCACAGTGCCAGTGTTTTGGATATTGAATGTCACGTGACTTACTGTGACTAGCCTGAGCTTTGTTTGATACCCTTTGTGGTAACTACAACTGCGCGGTAAATTTAAACACGTCAAGACAGAGCAAAGAGTCAATAACCAACAAAACAATTTACAATCCATCTAGTGTACAATTACACTACAGGTTGTTATTTACCAATGGAGGGGTTACTTTTATTTCCTTGTTGACTACATACAGCTCCCTAACAGACTCTAATTTGTTATCGATAGTAGATTTGGGAACTTGCTGGAAAAACACCAACGCTTTCAGTTTTGCAAATGTGATCAAAATAGACAACATGACGTTAAGCATATCAACCCCGATTGTCTTGACAGCATTTGAATGATTTGTAATAGGTGGATTCAAACAGCACAACCTGAAACCCTGCTGATTACGTTTAAATGCAAACTCACACTCAGTGTCTAGGGAGACGTTTACCAGTTGTGTCCTAACGCTTTACACTCACACACTATCAAATGATAAATATTTTGGGTGAATTTTAACAAAAAAAATATAAGCTTGCATAACGTACAGGAAACAGTTTATAGTGTAAGATATTTACACGCCCCAGTATTCCTCATTATATGAGAATACTGAAGCTACCTAACCCAGTATATGAGCTTATCTGCTCTCAGTATATTTGAGTATCCTGAATAGTATCAGGGTTTTATTGTGCATGTAAACACTGCCAGTGGAACACTCGTTACATCAGCTGTAAACACAAGCAGCAATTTCAACAGGCTTTGTGCAAATTATGTCTACACGTAGCACACAATCCCACATCTGATGGCTACACACAGAGCACATACTGTAGCTCAGCATTGTCATGGTAACAAACACCATAAGCATAAACCCAGACTAACTGCCAGCCCCAGCATCTCACATCAGTTGGGTAAAGCCGTGTCTTAGTGGTGCAGATCACAAGCACAGCCAGGTGACAGTCCAAGTGATGCATACATTTATACTGATGCTGTCTTTCATAGAGGAGATAAGAAGTGTGGCCATCTTCTTCCCTTGGTTAGAGTCAGTCATGGAAACTGCCACAATCAGGACAAAACACCAATCAGTTCCTCCTCGTCATTGTCCCCGACGCCTTCTGTGGGACTGTCACAGGTGGTCATGAGCCCCAGGCCCAGCTCTGCCAGCTCCTCACAGCTCATGTCTGTCGTCACCATGATCTTAGTCTCCAGGCGGTTACACAGAGTCCTGTAGGAGGGCAAAGGGTATCCCAGCTCTCTCAAGTACTCGTAGCCTTTTGTGCCGACTGCACAGCGGATCTTTCGAGCCTTCAGGATGGTCTCTGGAGACCAGACGGCACGGCGGGAGCGTTTTGTGAGGGACAGGGCGCGAATCTGGTCCTCAAACAGAAAGTTCTGAAGACCCTTCTCAATCCGGTCGAGCCGATACAGACGCTTCTTCATCTCCTCCGCCTGAGACAGAGAACAAGGTGGTTTATTAGGGCTATGTAGTGAACATTCCCACGTATGACTGTGGGGTTGACAAAGACTGATTTCCTTTCTCAATTTCAGTCTTCTGCGCACATCAAAGTCATTGGAGCCACAGGATAATTAGAGTCACTAATGGAATAACTAGGGTATGTGCGCTAACGTTACATCAGAAGAGTCATTTGTTTAAAAAGAGACACCAGCAGCCATCCTACCTCCTTCTGTAGCCTCGCAGTGTGCTGCATCTCCTGCTCCAGCTGTTTCTTGAGGAGTTGACACTGTGTGCAGGGCTGCTGGTCCTCTGCAGTCACGTCTGCGTCCTCCTCCTCCATGCCGGGCAGAGGGGTGCGTCTAGCATAGCCATGGTCCCCGAAGTTCAGCTCCTTTTCCACTACAGAGACAAAGCAAAGTTTAACTAGTATTGTATATTCTGGCTGGAATCTGGTGCGATCATTTGCACAAATTGTCCTGTATGTGCAATATGTCTTTGATTTAGCAAGGGAAACACATATTATACATATATTATTATATATAACACAGATATTTGCAGAGCATGAGTATAAATGTAAATGGAGTACGTCACTTGTCAGGGCTATGGTGTAGAAGCCATAGCGTTCCTGCAGAGCTTTGTTCACTCTCTGCAGAGATCTAGCTCTTCCTGATGAGTTCAATTCTTTTTTTTTTTTTACCACTTGCCTGATGTGAGGCCAGTGAGTTATAAAGGGTTCATGTTTCAGTTTTGCTTCTTTGACTTTCACACTCTCTCATAATCTTATTTCATTTGGACAAATCGGGAAATCAGCTGCATGTATGTTGTTTAAACATGGATAAAACTGAGTTGCTTGGCTCTGACTCACACATGTTCTAAGGCTTGAGTTTGACCACTCAACAACAGACAGGCTCTACTCCAACAGTGCCTGGCTGACTGGAAAGAGCCGTTTGGTTTTTTCTGAGCAAGAAACTACCAGAACCACAGCTCCTGTAGATATACAGGTACCTGCCACATCTAAAGCTGTATTAACACTACATGGTATGGCTCCACTCTACTCATTTTTGGTCCCTCTACTTCGTTCTCCACTGTAGATAATACTTTGGATAGTAACCCCTCAACATAGGCAGAGCTGACTGTCATAGCGATGCAGATGGGAAACAACAGGGAGCTTTACTTTGGTCTTGAGAAGCTCCAGCCTTTATTCACTGACAAACTAACCTACACTGCACATTTACTACTACACTGACAACTTCACTGCTCACATCCTGGGCTCTCCCTCTTTCACTCATTCACACACACACACACACACACACTGCTAGGAGCTCTTATAACAGAGAATATGAAGGGACTATGTTCTTGTTATGTCTGCACTTTGTCAACTGACCATAAAGTGGTTTGCAGGCTGCCTTTTTTGAGTGAATAACAATGTGGTGGCTATTAATGTTTATGGCTATTTAAAAGTGCAGGGTTTTTGCACGATGTCCTGTGTCACATGACTATCAGCGGTCACCTTTTACTGTCAGCTCAGCTCGCTTGAAACCTTGATTGAGGTGGTACCAAACGAGTACCAGGTACTATGTGTAATGGAAAATCAGAAAGCAGTATCCGTGCGGTATAAAAGTGGTTTAATATAATGCAAATTATTCAAGAAGAAATGTCATTGCACATTCATTCACCTGGTTCAGGTTTCATGGGCAGCAAGATGTACGGCGTAGTGACTGCAGGGTATGCAGGGTCTCCAATACTGAACAGAGTGGGGATGGCGTTGGGCTTCAGCTTCTTTCCCCCGGCTGGAGACCTGGCTATCTCCTCAAACTGGCTCTGTTCAAAATGGTCCTTGGGGAAACAAGGCAGGAAGACACATACAATTTAACTAAACACAAGAAACAAGAACACACATACAGTGGATGCAAAGTTCAGACATGGAAGAAGGAGTGACAAATGAACCCAGAGGATTGTTTGCCATTAATAAATAAAACTTGTCACTGTGTTTTTGGATGCATTGTCCTATCCAATTTAACTTCTTCTTTTGGACTGATGCATCGTCTCTGTGTTGAGTGCCTTTATAAAGTAGAGCTGGGTCACAAACATGTCAGTGCCTGTGGAAACTTAACGTTACCTGGCAGAGTCTGGAGTGAGGAGTCGGTTCAAAGTCACGTCGACAGTTCACCACCCATTTCTTCTTACGTACAGGGTCTTTGGGGAATCTGAACAGCTGTTTACCAATGCTGGTTGAATTGGAGCAGTTTGGAGCGGAGCAGCCACCCATTGCAGCAGTTGAAACAAACAGCAAAGCTAAATTTAGTAAACGTCAAGATAGCTGGGCTGGCAGTGAAGCTCAGCTGGGGATTTTAACCATTACTTTAACTAACTACTTCCGCGGCGTAAAAACAAGAAAGGGTTACATTAGGACTAAATGTTAGCTCGTGGAAACCAACGTGCTGTCCAGACGACTTTTACGTCGTATTTTAAGGATACAAGTTAAAATAGCAAAGAGATAAAATGTTTCTGACTTTGTTTGAGCCAAAATGGCGCACTTCACCTCGACAGTTAATGCTAGTGACGTATTGTTTATGTGTGTCTATCGTAAGTGCCTGCTTGGAAATGGTATTGGAAAGCAAAAAGTCAGAAAGAAAAGGAAAATTAAAATTAAAAGTACATACATTCCTAAAGACAAGTGTTTATTCATTAATGATAAAAACCATGTGCACCGATGTAGGACACAGACTATGATTTAGAGGCAAACCCCTTTTATATGCGCTCAGGTAATAGCCCGGCTACTATGGCTATTTTGTCACAGGACCCCAAGGAAGCACGTTGAAATGTTTACGGTAGCAGCACTGGAAAGCTATGGACTCTAATAAGTGTCGATAAATAAACAACAGTTAAAACAATAACCGAATGTATAGAGATAATATAACAAGCAGGTAACGAGAAAGGGAGTTAGCTAAACTAGCTAATAATCCGGGTAGTGTTCGGTGACTAAAGGAAAGGTTTCAGGCGGTTTCATTTCTACAGTTAAGTTGAGACCAACATGACGTGTTCACTGGTAGTTCCAGTCATTGATGTCCAGAATGATAATTTCAGAGAGCTTTGGCCTGCTATGGTAGTGGCCATTAAATCGTCTTCTTTCGTTGCACTGGACACGGTGAGTGCAGCTCTGTGTGTGTCAGTGCTACCAGCGTGCACCTTAATGTGTGTTACCATCCCATGGTGTGTGTGTGTGTGTGTGTGTGTGTGTGTGTTTTCCGGTCACACTCACTCCTAATTGTTCACTAATGATGGTGGTCATTACTATGTTATTAGTATTATTATTGTTGTTATTGTTGTTGCGGTAAATATATATTTTTAGCCACTTTAAGGTTCCCCCACACATATTCCTTATTCCATATTATTCTATATTCCTTACACCGGCCAGTCCAGTCTCACACATAATAACAAAGACTGTCAGACACACAGGGACACACATACATAACTGCCCTTCCTCCAACATTACCCTAATTAAGCAGATCTACATGCATCATTGTGCTTTGTTTGTTTTGCCTGCCTCGGTTACTTTCTGTGTCACTCTTTAATTTGTAAATGATCTCACCAATTTAAAAAGTACTAAGTGGCCCCTGTGTTGTTTTAGGAGCTGAGTGGTCTTGGAAACAGGAAATCCTTGCTGGCTGAGTGAGTAAAAACATTACTGTGACTCTTTCTAACGCACACTAACCTGAAATAGTATCAACAGGTTCTTGTGCGAGAAGCCACAGGTGCAAAGTGTGTGGTTTTTGAGTGCTTATTAGTGTTTTCTGTTGGTTTGCTCTGACCCTTGCTGTCATGTTTCAGATCTATAGAGGACAGATATAAAGCCATATGCCATGCAGCTCGCTCTCGCTCCGTCCTCTCTCTGGGATTTGCCTGTTACAAGAAACTGGACAACAAGGTACGATAAGATGGCGCCTTCTCCAGTTGCATATAACTTGTGGACACTGGTGTCCATATACCATATACTGTATATGAAATGATTATTATTTATTTCTGCTGAGCATGACACGTGCTGGTTTGTGAGAATGTATGACCTGTCCTGCACACCAGCATCACATTGAATGTATCAGATAAGAGAATTTGCCACTGCAGACTTCTGTGTGCAGATGTGTTTTGTCTGTGAAGTTTATCCCCTGCCTTCTCCTTCTCTTCCCCCTTTTCCCAGGCTGCAGACACATACCTGGTGCAGGTGTATAACCTCACCCTGCTGTGTTCAGAGGAGTACATCATAGAGCCCCAGTCAGTGCAGTTCCTGGTGCAGCATGGATTTGACTTCAACAAGCAGTACGCCCATGGAATCCCTTACTGCAAGGGCAATAATAAGGTGATGATAACATGCTGTTCTGTGTTCTGCTGTGTGCAGTGAGTCTTGTCCTGAACCCACTGTGTCCTCTATTGTACCTGTATGTACCCCTCTGTCCTTTCTTACAACTTTGTCAACCATCTAGTATCTTGTGACAGCTGGTCTGATAGCTTTATAATAAAGAGTTATAGTGGTCTCACACACAGCCGTTCACTGGTCTTACCACTGCACTAAATTTATATACTTTGAATAATTAATTTCAAAATTGGTGCTTAAACATTAAGTTTTACTTATTCTTTTTTGTTTGTTAATATGGGATAACATTCTCTGCTTTATGCATTCCAAGATGCACATATCATGACAGGACTATAGCCATGTAATGGTTCATGTCAGACATTATATAGTAGACAAACCTGAACACTATAGGGACATATAGAACAGGATACTGCAGTGGATGATTGCCCTTCCTCAGATGTTATTATTTGATTTCTAGCTGTCTTCTCTCTTTACCTTCTTTGTCAGGGAGCATCAGATGACCGGGGAGTACACATCCGGGCCTTATTCACTGAACTGCTGCGTGCCAGGAAACCTCTGGTGCTCCACAACGGCCTCATCGACATGGCCTTCCTTTACCAGGTACCACCGCGTTAATATGTTTGCTGCTCAGTCTCATTCCTGTAGTGTTTTAGATGTTAATTGTTTTAAATATACAAATACTGACTGCATAGTTCAAATATGTAACTGTATAATTTGTAGCAGAACATTTTGCACTTGTTACATCATCTTACCTAGTCGTAGCTTGTATTGGAGTGCCAACTTTATTAGTTGATCACCAAAAAAGTAATTAACAACTACTTTGATATTCAGTTTATCGCTCAAGTATTCTCTGGTGCCAGCTTCTCCAATATAATAATTTGCTTCTTAACTTTTTTTATTAATTGTAAGCTGAATATCTTTGAGTTTCATCATCATCATAAATCATACCGGCTTTTGAACCTCATGCCTTTCTCATAGCATAATGCACTTTTTTAACGACTGCGTTTGCAATTGATGTGTGTTTCCAGAGTTTTTATGCACATCTGCCTGAGCGCTTGGCCACCTTCACAGCCGACCTCTCTGAAATGTTTCCCGCTGGCATCTATGACACCAAATATGTCACTGAATTTGAACTCCGGCTCACTGCGTCCTATCTGGAGTATGCCTATAAAAAATGGTGAGTATGGGTTTATAGTGCACTGTAGACTCACAGTCTTCCAACATGGAGCAGGTGTTGAAATTGTCCACACCTACAAATACTTATGAATAGTTTTGACAAATTTAAATTGAGTGAAAATACAAATTTCACTGTAAACTGTCTACATACTATACTGTAAACTAAACTCCTTTATAGTAAATTGGAGAATATTGACATTTTATTTCACTTTTATTATAACTTTTTAAACGTTTTCATTTATTTGCTGGTTTGTCAAAAGAACAAGAACTGACAGGAAAGTGTTGTTAACCTCAACACCAACATTATTCATTAGAATACAGAGATCTCTTGCACAAGACAAGGCACTGTAAGCATTTCAGATCATCATTACTCATGTCCTCTGACTACAGTATTCTAATGCAATCAGTAATGACGACCTGTATGTAAAACAAATGGAAGGAAGTTTGGTTTTATTCCAAAAGCTTGTTAACAGCCACAGGACAAGAGATGGACAGTTTAACTTGTGCATTGATTGATAAATGCTGTTTGTATATTTTGGCATAATGTGCCTTTTTGAAATAATATACCTTAATGGTGTGGCCAGATTGGCCACTGCTATTTAGTCATTGTAATTATGTATTTCGGCATTTCTCTTCCATGATCATATTATATACATTACATATATTTTATATGTGAAATGTTCCCACTCGATGGACAGAAAAAGTGTTTGTTTAGTTCTATATCAACCATGATGCATACGCTGTCACAATGTATGAAAATGTAAACAGTGCATTATTGTGCTTATATCATAGATGTAAAAAAAAAAAACATACTGCTATTTTCTCCTCCTCCTCCCAGTAAGCTGGATAACAGTCGCAGTGTGTCCTCTGGAGGGGCTGGACCTCACGTTCATATAGAGTTCTGTCAGTACGCCGGTCACATGTCCAGCTACGTGGACTACAGAGTGTGTCCAGCTGTGGGCTCTTCTGAAGGACAGACTGACATCTGCCAGCGCTTCTCTGTGAGTTTAAACCTTTTCTTTCCTTTCTTCTTTTTTTCTTTTTTTTTACCCAGAGAAATCTGTGTTTTACTAAAATTCGAAAAAATAAATATTAAATATGGTTTCAGTGCCTAAAATAAAGGTGCAGTGCCCTTTTACTTGCTGTCTCTTTTTCCATATCTTTTTTAACCACCTTGTCTTTGTTTTTGTGTGTTTGTCTGACAGGCGTTTGGCTGGTGTCCGAATGGCACCCAGTGTCCCTTATCCCATGACACTGACCTGATCATCCTGCAGGATGAGAAAGGAATGGGGGACAAGAAAAAAAAGAGGAAGAGACAAAGAGACAAGAAGAGAGGTAGAGGCGGGGCGGCGGAAGGCTCTTCCATCTTTGACGGTGCCCCTGAAAACAAAATACCGCACATGGAGGTGGATCCCAAAGAAACACCGGATGACCAGCAAGGCGCTGAGCCATGCCTAGAAAGCGTGTCTCTAACAGGCAGTGATGGAAACGCTCAACAGAATGAGGGGGAGAGCATGAAAACAGACAGCGAGGGGAACGGAGTGTGTGAAGACCACAAAGACTTCAGAAACTGTGAAACAACCGCCGCAAATACAGAAACCAGCACAAACGATGGCGTTGAAAGCAAAACAGAAGAAGGAGAAGGAGAAAAGTTTTGCGACCGCCCAGTTAAGACTGGCGAGCAGAAGAAGGTTGACACAGGAACGCACCGGGCGGGGTTTGATGCCTTTATGACGGGATACATTTTCGCCCACTCATGTACCATCATCAACAAGGACAGAGTGGGAGCTGGAGAGGGGAAGGAGCAGCAGAAGGAGGAGGAGCAGCCATGGCTTCCTACCAGCCTCAATAAGGTCTACCTCAGCGGCAAGGCGGCTCCTCTCAACGTGGTTAAAAGCACCTTCTCCAAATCCTCCAAGGCCCATGTGCAGAAGATGGAGACGGTGTGGGGAATGAGAATGTAGTGTGAACACAGCAGGGAAGCCACTATAGTGTGTACATACGCAGGTTAATGGGGTAATGTTATTGCCATGCTAGCAGCAGGCTCAGTGGATACCAATGTCAGTCCAGTCTGGTCCCCAGAGGATGAATATTTATGATTTTGATAAAAGCCCTGATTTTAGATTTTTGGTGAAATATCTTGACAACTGTTGGATAGGTTGTCATGAAACTTGTACGCACCAGTCAGGATGAATTTGAGAAACTTTGGTGATCCCCTTACTTCTAGCACCATCTACAGGTCAGAATTTGAATTTGCCCAATACTTTAGTTTATGTTTATGACATAGCTGCAAAGCGAAAGAGATTCCCATCAACCTCAGCTGTACTTTGTGTGTTTAGTGCTAAACTAAGACGCTGTTCATGCTAATCATTAGCATATTAGCATTGTGACATTAGCAGTTAGCTCAAAGCACCGCCATGCATTAGTACAGTCTTAATGCTGCTAGCATGGCTGTAGACTCTCTTGTTCCTGCTGTGTATTGCCCTTTACATCCTCACAGAGCCGCGATTGTGGCTTTTTGATGATTTATGTTGACTTTCTGAGAATAAAGCAAAGAATCGGGGGTAATGGTCAGTTTATGTTCATGGTAAAAATGTCTGACAGTGAATCTTATGCTCCCATATTGTTTTTATTAATTTAGCAGTCTTCAGTGGATGTTGGATCCACTAATCAAACTGCAAAAAAAAAAGCTGTTATTGACTTGTAATACCTGTTTTAATTTAGTTTGTTAGTATTTCTAAGTTTTCTCTGCAAACAGCCAAAATGAGATGTTATATGCATTCATCTGACTTTTCAGATTTTGTAACATTTCCTGTTTCTGAAGTTACCTGTGTAATAAACTAACACTCTTTAACAATTATTCTTTTGTCTTGGCTTCATCAGTAAGAATGATATAAAGCAAACTGTCCAGAACTCATATCACGTTATATAATCAGTAAAGGAAATGAATAAAACATCACGCAGGAGAAAAGGTAAAGTATTAACTGCAAATACTGCTGTAGAATCACTGTGAATGTTCAGGCTGTATTAGGTTACACTTAAAAAGTGTATATTATACTTAATAAATCAGGAGTATAGCACCAACAGTACCACAATCCCAACTTTAATCCCCACTCATGCAATATCAGTAACCATGGTTGTGTATATGAGAGTCTACAGCCATGCTTATGGCTCTGTGAGGCTGCTTAGGCACAGGGTTGCTTTGAGCTAAATGTACATGCTAATATACAGATGTTTAGCAGGTATAATG